TCACCATGATCCGAAATGAGCCCGGTAAGAAATTCTGGAGCTTGCGGCAAGATTTCTTACCTCTCTTAGCGTATTCCCCTGGTCGAGCTATAAATGACTGCCACCTATCCTGGACCTTAAATCATCATCTTGATGACGAAATAATTAGACGATCAACTCCAACTCGAAAGTGAGGTCGCCTCCTTTCTCGACCCGCACTCCGCTGGGTTTTGGCAAAGGAGCATCAAGAAATTTTCTGAGCGTTGAAGACAAGTGGTGGACACTCATGGTAGATATATGACCGGTCAGGAGTTGTAACAAAAAAGATAGAATTAAAATAGACTGATAGACTCTACTATGTTTATGAATTTAAGTAATAAATGAACATTTTTCAACTATTATTATGAATGATTTGTTTCCTCAATTAATTGCGTTTTACCTTATTAACAGAGAGGTGTGGGTGGTGTTGTAAAAAACTAATAAACCTATTGTCTTATTTCGTGTATGGGCTCAGCACTTACTATGCCTAATAGTGTTCCTAGTGAAGGCGTTGAAGGAACCAAGTGGAATCGTTCCTGTCGTCAACATTTGTAACAGATGTATAGCGGGAAATTGCACGCGTAATCGTCCAGGTTTCCGATTTTTTTCGTTCTTTTCGCTTATATCGTGGGTGCTAACATAGTTGGGGACCATGCGGCAGCGCGGCGCTCTGTTCGTCTGCTCCTCCAAGGCTTAGTCCGCCGATGGCGCGTATTTCGAAACTGCCACGTGGCGACGAAATAGTAACTGCCCCTTGGACTAAGCCTTAGAGGAGCAGACGAACAGAGCGCCGCGCCGCCGCGTGGTCCCCCCCCCCAACTAAGTTAGCACCATATCGTGAAGGATGGGTGTCAAGTCGGTGATTTAGCGGTAAGATAGGATCATAAATTATCCGTGAACGATTCCTTTAAGCATTTATCTTCGGAGGTACTGTGGTTAACAACATATCCCTGATTCCTTAAAGCTTAATGCTGTGGTAAAATCACTTGCCATTCACTGTGATGAAATATAGCCGCGTAAACGTGAATGTTGTTTTCAGATTTTCGGACGCACATTGGCGGTGTTGGGTTTGGGCAGAATTGGAACAGAGGTAGCCACTCGTCTGCAAGCCTTCGGCATGAGGGTTATCGGTTATGATCCCATGACCACGAAAGAGGTACTTCTAAATCCATTAAGATGATCTAGCCGGGTCGCCGGAGCATTCTCATTACAGGCAGCAGCAGCAAAAAATATCGAACTGCTTCCGTTGGAAGAGATCTGGCCTCAAGCTGATTTTATTACTGTGCATGTGCCACTCATCCCTGAGACGGAAAACATTATCAATGCCAAAAGTAGGCACAGAATTGCATTAGGTTTTAAGATTAAAATAACTGGAATCTTCCAGCGCTGGCAAAATGCAAGAAAGGTGTGAAGATCATCAACGTGGCTCGTGGAGGAATTGTCAACGAGAAAGATCTGGTGGATGCGCTGAACTCCGGTCAAGCAGGAGGAGCGGCTTTCGACGTCTTCGTCGAGGTTAGTCCTTATCGTTAGTATAAGTATATATCATGTTGAAGCATGATTGGTTCACTGAGCACTCAGCAAAGGGGCTTCGCAGGGCTTTCCGCTCGGGTTAAAATGTCTAATGACATGAACTTGTATGTTCTTCGTCCATTTTTTTCTCCCAGTACCGTGAAATTGTTTAGGTTGCTCCTGAATGAATTCATTAAGTATAATGAATGCGCTCTCCAGGAACCGGTACAATTCATAGTGAATGTCGCGCTGAGTATGGCCGCAGTACGACCCTCCCCCCTTCTTCTAGCCCCAGATGACTAGAATACTTATTTCTCTTCTTTCCTCCCTCCCTCAACCACACCTACAGTTCCCCGTGATCGATGATTTCTATCGTCTCTCTGATCATGGAACAATGTGGCACACTCAATCCCTCCCCCTCCCCTCCTTCCCAATAGTCAAAATTGTAGTCCAATGGTGATAAATGTGCCTGATAAAACAACTACCTGACGTTTTTCGCCGCTATTACATTTTCTTCTGGTCCTCAATTCAACTAGCTACGCCATCCAACAACAACAACAAAGCCATTGAATGGAAATTCCACCTAATAACCTCGTAAGGCACAGAACAAATAACCCACCTACAACTGGAGGGAGAAGCTGGAGAATACTCCAGCTCCTGATCCAATTCCGATCACGACCCACTTCTCTCACCTACAAATGCTGCCCTCACTGACAGGGTCAACCGTCACGTTGGACAAATTTCAAAAATTTTACGACCCCCCCCTTCTGGAGGGCCTCAGTATGACCCACCCCCTCCAAATGCCCTCCGTTGCTAGATCGTAATTTTTCCAAACGATCCCTCCTCCACCAACCATCTAGACTCAGCGAGGTCCGCCATAACGATCCCCACCTACCACACGTTAGAGCTGTTACTATAGCATTTGATTCTGAGACTACTTGATAGAGCCAAACTCCACCCAAATTCCCTCCAAAACAGCCGTAAGCGGGGCGGTGGAAGGAGGCATATATCAACAGTGAAACGGCAATTTTTTCGTTAGCACTCACAAAGCGTAAAGCGTCACAGTACAACCCCCGTTGGTGTAGGATTGACGCTGCCTCCGACCTTGCAAATACAACCCCCCCCCTTTTTCGTCGGCCGAATACGACCCTCCTCGTTGACTTTGTCCAACGGGCGGTTGACCCTGGTCACTGAGGAAGCTTGTCTAAGGTTCATTCTGGTACAATCCCATTTTGTCCGTCGAAGTGAATTTGAAGTTTGTTTGTTTCTGAGCATAAGTTGTTTCTGAAAGGAATGGCTCAGAAGCGCTGCTGGGAATGCAATGAATGAACTGCATCAGCAGTCGTCAGTTAAACACTCCGCTTTTACCAGAACACCCTTCACTTTGAGAGTATTCTACAACATTTGCAATGCTGCTTTGGTCCGTTTCCCATCCGGAAGGAAAGTAATCCCGATTTTTTTTTAGCACGCAACAAACGCTTTGCATTGGCAACTGAGGGTGTTTGGTCAGTTCTGTGAGCCTCAACGAAATTTAAAGCACTGTTCCAGGAGCCTCCCAAATATCGCGGTCTAGTGGAGCATCCAAAGGCGATCTGCACCCCTCATCTGGGTGCTTCGACAATCGACGCTCAGCTGAGAGTGGCCACGGAAATCGCTGAGAACATCGTTCAGTTCAACAAGGGCAAAGTGCTTGGCGTGGTCAGTCGAATAAATCTTTCTTAAACTTCATTGCCATAAAAAATCTCGCGATTTTCTTCAGGAATGCAAATGCCGGAACCACGTGATGTAAGGGAGCGGCATGTGACATTAAATTCGTTGGGAACCATCTATTTATTTCCTATTGAACAAAGGTATAATAATATTCCCACCGTTTTCTTTCTTTGGCGTCCCATATAACGAAAAGTGAACCCCGCCTACAAACGCTAAAGAAGGGACAAGATTCGGGGGTTCCGGGTTTCTTTCCGTGCATCGCTAAAGAAATAAGAAGAGAAGTTTTTGTTCTCCTCCTTTGTTCCGCTCAACAATCCGTTGGCTCTTGCGCATTTGATTTATGATCGTGGACGGAACCCTGCCAACTGCCAGGTCTCTGGCTAAATTCTAAACCACATAAATGAAGATTTTTAAGTCGCAGGAAGTCCGAAAATTCAAAAGAATCGAAAGAACTGCCAAATTTCTATGGGAAAAAAGGCTCTTGCCGTTTCCCTCGAAATCAGGCCGATCTATTCTGACCTCACCAATTCTTATCTTACACACGAATACATGAACTTCTATGCCTAATGTGGGAAAGCTCAAATGTGATAGGAGAAATATTCATCCTCATCGATGTAATTCAGTCACGTGGTTTGATGGGATATTCCGTGGTTACCTTGCAGACAGATCCTTGCTGTTAGTAGGGTAGCAGAACCTTTGAGAGGTTATGGTAACCCTACTGTAGCCAATTTCAATAGGACCCAGTTAGGGGGAGAAATGTACGGTAGATGTTGTGCATCCTCATCCTCACACTCGTAGAACTTCCGCACAGATAGGATAAGCCGGTTAGGCGAATGAGGATGTTTTTCAGAGAGCTGAGTTTTTGAATGCAACTGAGTCATCCAGATGAGGAGATGAGTTCCTTATCTGTAATTTGTGGGCCTCGGCACGCATTCAGCATTTCCCGAACACTTTCTGTGATCAATGAAATCTACTGGGAGTTTCCTGTGCTGCTTCGACAAGAATAGAGTACATTAATTGTTTGCATGTGAAAAAGGGTAACAAAATAGTTGTACTGAAATAGTGCTGAATCTACACAGGTTGACTCTCTGGATATAATCCATAGCTCCTTGACTCATCCGCTTACACCAGTGGAACCGTTCACAACTTCAGCAGCAGCGTTCGACTTCTTGTCCAGCTTTTTGCTCCTGAAACAACTCAATAATAGCTGCTGCTGCTCCAGCAGACGTAAGAAAAGACGTAAGAAATGGTTAACTAGTTTAAAAATGGAAGTAGAGGTGCAAGGTAGACCGTCAGTAAAAAAACAGAAAGCAGACCGTTGAAAATATTGAAATCAAAGGCACACATCGCGATCTGCTATGTGCAATTATTGCGCTCGAAATGAAATGAGATGTGGGCCGGCAATGAGAAAAACAAATGGAACCAAGCCATTCACCGAAATTGAGGACCTCCTCTTTTCAGTGGTGGGGAACGTGTATGGACGACGAGACACTGCATTTAGGAGAGGGCACTGGCGAGAGAGCATGTTTAACGAGAGACTACAGATAGTCTAGTATGTGTTTACTGCGGCCTAGCCGCAAAGGCTTGCAACCACGTGAACAAATCCTTTGAGGCGCACCTTCGAGACGCAACAGTTGCAACAATCTTGCGAGATGGAATAATCTGTCCCATCTAGGAAACGGATTGCTTCCACCAACCTAATGACGGAGTTCGCCTTCAAAGCCAGATTTTTATGGGGGTGGGTTACTCTACAAGTCAATATATGCTCCATCAATAGGGCAGACAGGGAACCCTAGAGGATGTGCGAGAGGGAGACACTCGCTATGTAGGACCGAAGTGTAGCGAATACAGCTGCAGCTTCAGCGAAGCGAGAACGTCTTAGCGCCTTGCTTACATGCGCTTTCAGTCTCTGACACTACATTTTCCACCTCTGTAGGTGATTCTCCTTGGTCAGGAGGCATATTTGCCCACCTGGCTTGTTGTGGAATGCGCCCTCGAATCTGATCATGAGCTCTCTTGACATTCGGCCTTTGTGTAGACACATTACACTACATTTGGCATTTACGATTTCCTTGCACCAGCTGACTCAACTATGAATTGCTACAATGAGCTTACGTAACTCTGGATTGCTACAAGATTATTATTGTAATTAGTGCAACCGCCACAACACTGTGAAAGCGCTATGCTCGCTCGTAGCTCTGTAAGCTGGACAGATGATTCCGCTCGAATCACTTTCTTTTCGTTTGTGCACACATACCCTTAAAGTCCTACACACAACAACACAATGTCCTCATAGTTTGACCCAAAAGCCAACCCACCCTAATGTTTAGGCCAAACTCGAAGCTGCTGGCTCTCCTTATGGGTTTATGACTCCTTCAAATTACCCATGTTCGAAGGTCAAGACCAGAAAATCACAAATTCTCCAGGAACCAAGGGATCGTCGTTTCCGATGAACCACTAAATAACTGTACGCATTGTAAGGAACAATGATTGCCTTAGAAATAAGCAGCGGAAGCTTTCCAACTTCGTTCACACTTAGGGAGGGCTCGGCTGCTCTCTTGAAGACCAGGTATCTTCGAAATAATGCTCATGCAGTCATAGAAGCAGTCCTCTCAGGATCGGTCCTATTAGCTTAATAGCTTATTAAACTTCGCAATGGTGGTTGACGAAAGTTCCATGGAGCCTCTAATCGTCAGGCAAACGAACACAGTCAAACAGCTCGTTTTCACTTGAAGAAATCCTTTCCGTAGAAATTCTTGCATTCTTTCTCAACACGAACATGTCAATTGATGTCGCGACCAATGTCCCTGGGTCGGTGTATGCATCGGCGGACGGGACACTTGGCCACGCAAAATGATGCACCAGTTCTGTCGCGACCAATGTCCCTGGGTCGGTGTATGCATCGGCGGACGGGACACTTGGCCACGGCAGAATGTGGATATTGTAAGGGTCCACACACCCTCTAGGGGGATTGTCACGCCAGAATGCTCTAAGTGGCAGCTGACTGCTGCTGCCTGCCCCGGGAGCTGGTGAGGCCCTTTAACCCCCTTAGCCGACGACCTTATTAACCGCGTTGAACATGATAAAGATATGACCGACTGTACGTATTGTATATTACTACATGACAGGACACAAGATTATTACTACTTTTATGACAACTACTTACAGACATAATAATAAGACTAACATGACAACACGGTTAATAGGATATTAAGAAGAGAGTGAGACAAGGAGGATAAAGAGAGGAGAATGAGATGAGGAAGGTCGGGTAGACCGCTACCAGGAGATCCAACTGGAGGAAGCATACTGCCGGTCCGCCGGGCTCGAAGATGTTGTTAAGGCGGAGAGGAAGTGAGCTGATGACTTAAGGCGTAAAGACTCACATCGTTGACGGCTTCTCCGCATCCGGCTGCTCGGGACGAACCATTCACGACGACGACATGACGCAACACTGACTTGTCGTAGGGCGCGCGGCGAGAGACGACAGAACGTTAGCGTAATTTCTCACGCCGTTGGCGCCGGCATATTCGAATCGTGAGAAAGCGTCGAATCGTGGCGTTGGAGCGCAGTTTCCTTCCGGCGCATACCATAACAGGATCCAGGTCGTACGTAAGTCACGACAGTTGTGAACACTAGAGGCAGAATACGTTTCGGAAGTCTCACATACAAAGATTCAGTTTTCGAAAACAAACTGAACTTACGAATATCACACTATGCACAGCCGAAAGTAATTCGCGCGGAGCCAAAGGCAGGGCATGGAAAGAAGCAGAGTAAATCGTCGGCTCGCACTAATTGAACGAAGGGGTTTCGATTCCAGGGAAGGAGGGAGGTGGTCGCATTTGGAGTTTGAGGTTGAGTATGGTTATTGTAGTGGAATTAGAAGCTGCTGAAAAAGGGTTGCCGTTCAGACGGGTTTTTCGGGGAATTTGTTAGAAGTCCTACGAAAGAAGCGTAAGTTAGACAAAATCAGTATATTTATCTTTCCTTAATAGCGATTACCCCTCCAACTCGACGGCCGTGTTCGAGGAAAAACTGGGCGGGAATGGATGTCTTGACTGATCTCAGAATCAAGCACTAAAAGAGCCATGATTGTGAGGGTGGTGGTGGAAGGAGGGGTAAGGAGAATCATATTGGGAGAGTCCCATAAAATTGATGGTGGTGGTGGGAATCGCATCG